GAGCCTGCTTCTCCCTCTGCCTGTGTCTCTGCCTCTCTTGAATAAATAAATAAATAAATAAATAAATAAATAAATAAATAAATAAATAAAATATTAAACAAAAAAAGGAAGGAAATGATTTTAGAGAAAGAGAAATGTGATGTAGGGATACAAAGTTCAGCAGTAAATATATTTGTGCCTGACTCTGAAAATGATTCATGTGAGAAAAGATATGTAGCATTTTTTACTGACCCATAAAATCCCCATCCATTAGGGGACCCCATGTACTTAGGGACCCCATCCATTCCCACTGATAGCTGTGCTCCTGGGCTCTGCACGGTGCCTGGCATGTGAGCCGCACTCCACAGATCTTTGTTGAATAAGCACACGCGTGACACACTTAGCGACAGCTTTAGTAATGTTTCTTTGAGAGGAATGTAGATAATGTCCCATTACTGATTTTGTGCTTCTCGTGAGTAACTTTGAAGAGAAATCCTTATTTTTCCCTGATCACTGTGAAACACCTGATAAAATGTTTTGATTCAGTCTCACTCTGTAAAGCAAACACCCAATTATGGCCATGGCTTGAATCGGTGAAGGTCCGGAATTGTGCACCCAACTGGATTTAGGACGAGGGACGCAGCCCAGGGCCTGCGGTTGGAATGCCTGGAATTTCCCAGGGCAGCTTTGTCGCCAGTAGGCCAAGTGATAGAGACGCTTCTGCTACAGCTCCTCTGGCGAATAACTGATAAGAGACCAGTTTAGGGAATTTTCAGCACACTAGGCCGGGTTTTGCACTGGATCGTTATTTCTATTTTCATGTGAGCAGAAACAAAACCATTTAATCTCTAATTTGAGAAATTTAGCCTGTAACATCAAAGCATATGTACTACCCCGAGAGCATGCATTTGGTCCCTTGAATGATCCAGACGACTGTAACTCATCTGTCTGACTTAGAAGCAAGGCAAGTTCAAGGACCAGCAGGGGAGTGACCCGGCCATCTGGTTCCCGCCAGGGGACTGCCAGCCACGTCAGAAGGAGCTGCCGTTCCTCACTCTGTCTGCCCTCCCTCAGTGCCCCCTGGCCTGTTCTGAACCTTCGGGGCACAGACCCTTCCCAAGCGAGGCCGAGGGGGGACAGGGGCATTCTCATCGCCTTAAAGGCCACTGTTTCTCAGAGTGTGGTCCAGGGACCCCCTGCCTCAAGGTGTCCACCTGGGATCTACCGAGTCTCAATCCCTGACCTCTTGCGATCTGCATCCTTACTTAGCAGTTTCGATTTTCCACACTAGCTAACGTGCCTTGGGGTTTGAGAAGCCGTCCTTTTGCTTTTTTTTTTTTTTAATTTTTTATTTATACATGAGAGAGAGAGAGAGAGAGAGGCAGAGCCACAGGCAGAGGGGGAAGCAGGCTCCATGCAGGGAGCCTGACATGGGATCGATCCCGGGTCTCCAGGTTCAGACCCTGGGCTGAAGGGAGGTGCTACACCCCTGAGCCCCCCGGGCTGCCCTTGAAGCCGTCCTTTCTCTGACGGTCGATTGCATGTCGGAGAGTCACCTGACCCGGAGTAGGTCCTCGGGGCCCCAGCAGGACCTGGCCCGCGCTCTCCTCCCTGCCGCGGAGCAGGGGCCTGGAGCAGGTGCCTAGGTGTCAGCGGGCCTCGGTCCATCCCTGCCGTAAGGGCGTGGCCCCAGGTGGGGACGGGGGCCTGGGGATGGATGGCCCAGGAGCAGCGGGGGACACAGTCCTGTGTGCGCGGGAGCACCCGGGCCTGGGGTCCGCGGCCGCTCTGCTGTCCTCCCGCCTCTCACAGGGCCCAAACCTTGCCGTCTACACCCCTTCCTGATGCTCCTTGCCTACTACTACTGACTTTCCCGGTGGATGCCAAAGCCTTTACCCCTGGGGTATCGGAAAGGATTTGATCAAGCTCTGCAGGGGAGCCCGGCGCCCTCCACCTTTACCTGGTGTAAACCCAGGCACAGGAGCGGGTTGAAAGGCAGGACGCCCAGGCCTTACAGCCAATGGTCTGGTCCAGCAGGTATGAGTCAGGGCCCGGGAAGACGCATTTTAAATAAACAACTTGGGGCACCCGGGTGGTTCAGCCATTGGGCGTCTGTCTTGGGCTCAGGTTGTGACCCCGGGGTCCTGGGATCAAGTCCCACATCAGGCTCCCCGCAGGAAACCTGCTTCTCCCTCTGCCTGGGTCTCCGCCGTCTCACTCTGTGTCTCTCATGAATAAAATTTTAAAATCTTAGAAAAAAAAAAAAAAGCAACTCACGCTTTTCAAGATGTAAGGGGCCTGGGGTCTGCAGAACACACCTTGAGACGCACTGGTTTAAACGCCCAAGGAGTGAACATTTCCAGATTCACTTGCAACGGTCGGGGGGGTGGTGGTGGGGAGAGCAGTAGTCCAATATTCCAAGTGCCTTGGAAAGGGGCTCAGGGTAAATACAAGTAGAAAACAGACATTTGCACAAGTTTGATAAGGATAAGCCTCGGTATTATGAAAAGTACGCCTCAAGGAAATGACATCGCGCCGGCCCCGCAGAACTGAGTACAGCTCAGCCCTCTTGGAACTCCGCTCTGAGCAGAGCCCAGAAGCCTCTGCACCCTCCCCATCCTCCCCATCCTCCTATTCTCTCCATCCTCCCCACCCTCTCCATCCTCTCCATCCTCCCCATCCTCCCATCCTCTCCATCCTCCCCATCCTCTCCATCCTCTCCATCCTCCCCACCCTCTCCATCCTCTCCATCCTCCCCATCCTCCCATCCTCTCCATCCTCCCCATCCTCTCCACCCTCCCATCCTCTCCGTCCTCCCCATCCTCTCCATCCTCCCCATCCTCTGCATCCTCCGCATCCCCACCTTCCTGGCTTCCTCCCGCTGTGCTTTGAGTGTGAAGGTGATGCTGGAAGGGCAGTTGGGCCTGGCAGCCTGATTCCCGTCGGCATGCCCTCTCCTCTCCTCACGGATAAGTCAGCACTAGAGAAACACCACCTTTATTCACCCAAATTAACTTGCACTCTCACTCATCAATTTGGGGCAGGTCAAACCCTTCCTGCTGGTTTTTAGGACTTCCTTCGGAGGTGGAAATTTTTACTGCACTTGGAAGTTCAGGACATTAGAAAATTCAGTTATCAAGTAGCATTTCTGACCAGGTCATTCGGAAATAGTATTCAGCTTTTAAATTTGGAAGTGGCAGGATGATTTTTTTTTTTTAAGTCTCTACTGGTTTGGCATCATAATAAACCTGTGTGTTTGCCGGGCTATTTGTACCCTTCATCTGAATCCTTGGCCTACTCCTCGGACCACGCTGGCTTCTCACATCTTCCTCTGTACCCCAACACCATCCTCTACTCTCCTCCTTCCTTACTTCCACCCTGACTTTCACAACTTCCTGGTCACAGCAGATCAAGAAGACCTGGGATGTCACACCAAAGGAGCCTTCTAAAGTGACCAAAAGGTGACATCATGCCCGTGTGCTGCATGATTTCATTATTACCCGCAAGATTTCATTACTGGCGTGTGCCAAGTACTGCTCTGAACGCTATGCAGGTGTTAATTTATTTAGTCCTCCCCACAAGCCTGTGAGGTGTAGGAGTGTATTATATTGTATTACCGTATTATAAATTATTACCAGTTCGTTTTATGGATGAGGAAACTGAAGCATGGAGAGGGTAACCAATTCACATAGGTCATGTGGATTATAAGTGGTGGAGGAAGGATCCGAACTCCTACTTGGCTCTTAGTCACTACCTACATCATTTACCTAAGAAGGCAAAACTAGATCAAGCCAAAGCCAAGCCAAAACTTCCAAAAGAGGCCCCCTGATACTAATCTTTAAAACAAAATCTGTTTTCAAGGACATATGGGAAGAGGAGCCTGTACTCAATGCAAAGGCAGATTTTATATTGCCTGTCTGCTCACGAACACATCCAGCAAACTCTCAGATCTACTAACAACAACCCAGCACAACGACCAGTTTTTATTCAGTGCCTTCCAACGATGATCTCATTTAATCCTTACCCCATTGAAGGCTGGTTTAAGCTTCTGTCCTAAATGTTAACACACCAGAGAGAGCCACCTTTCCAACATGATATATTCTCAGCATACTGTGTCCAGCAGTCCAGGCAAAACAATTGCATCCATTTTTTTAAGATTTTCTTTTTTTAAGTCATCTCCATACCCAACCTGGGGCTTGAACTCACAACCCCGTGATCAAGAGTTGCACCCTCTACAGGCTGCACCAGCCAGGTGCCCACAACTCCATCTACTTTGAGGAGTAACAGAGACAACAGATCCACACTGCCTAGATGAAAACCCACACTGCTGGTTCCTTCTAGAATCCGCTTATGTTTTGGGAAAAGCGTTGACTTAGGAGTTCCGAACCTGAGTTATAATTCTGGCTCTTCCATTAATTAGCCGTTGATCCAGGGCAGGTCTCAACCTCTCTGAACCTATTTTCTACCTTTTTCATTTTTTTTGAGGTCCAAATATAATATTTATGAGAATGGATAAACTATACAGTGCTAGAAAAGGTTGGATAGTATTGAAGATGGTTCTAATAAATATGCTAATTATTATTACAGTATATTTACCTAAAGTGACTCTCTGCCACTTAATTTGAAATTGACTGCTTACCACTTCCCCTCCTCCGCCCCCCCTCCCAGGTAAACTTCTCAAGAGCAGTAACTATGTGTTATTCATTTTTGCCTCTTAAGACTGTTTCTGGGGCCCCTGGGTGGCTCAGGGCGTGACCCTGGGGTCCTGGGATCGAGTCCCACATCAGGCTCCCCGCAGGGAGCCTGCTTCTCCCTCTGCCTGTGTCTCTGCCCCTCTCTTTCTATGTCTCTCATAAATGAATAAATAAAATCTTTTTTAAAAATATTGTTTTTGGCACATAGTAGGTAATCAATAAGCGTTTTTTGAATGAATGAATAAATAAAGGATAATTTCAGAGGAATTTTGAAGGTTCCCATGTAGGTTGAGAGGAGTCCACGGAGGGAAAAGCCATTCACAATACCTGCTTCAACCACATGGTCCATGGTGGGGAACCTTTTGTACACAGCGGTGCTCACAGAGCGGAAGATGAGCAGAGACGTGAGGTTGACGTAGCGCATCAGGGTCCTTCTGAGCAGACGCCCATGCTCGTCCCTCCCGTGAACACTGCTGGAGATGAGAAACATCAGCCTGTCGGGCCAGGGCAGATTCACAAACTGGTTCCACCACCGGTTCACTACCAGAGTCACATAAAACCCTGTAAAATAACACAAAACTGTAAAGCAATTTCTTACAGCAGTTGTTGTTGACACTGATGCTTTTAGCAGAATATCAGGCTTTTTTTTTTTTAGGGACTGGGGTGTAAAAATATGTTGTTATCTGTATCTTATGATTTTTGCCCTCCAATAAATAAATAAATAAATAAATAAATAAATAAATAAATAAGGAATTTGTGCCTGGCAATGCCATAGCACCCAGTAAGTGGGTGTTAGGGGTCAGATAGTGACAGCAGAAATGGACAGTTAGTGAAGAGAAAGCTTGATTGTCCAATAGCAAATTATTACCTCAAACTGTTAATTTAGCAAAAGCAGCCCTGAAGGCAAGCCTTGTGGATGATTCTGGTTCTATTGCAAGCAGTGGCTTTTCAGGCATGCCTCTCAGCTTGGAAACACTCCCATGCAGAGTCATCGGTGTCATCCTAATGGAGACAACTGTGTGGCTGCATTCTGCGTGTGACCTATACTTACCAAGCACAAAGGTTACTGGAATTTGTTCAGCATATCTGTCACAGTAAATTGATAATTTTTCAAAGTAACGTTTTTGGGCTCCTGTAAGTAACAATCTGGAGCAAAAATAAAATGCACAGCCCTTTATGATATTATACTTCTGCACCTGCTTTGCAAGTGATATTCAGTGCAAACAATTAAGCACAAATAATTGTAAATTTTTTTTAAGGAGCAATAATGTATATTCCTACCTAAGCTGATGTATCTCAAAAGCTTTTTAATTGCTGAATGTTTCAAGTACCAATGTTTTTAGGACATGAATGTTATTGGCCATTAGGCAGTGGGGTTTATTAACTTTTATTCTTAAATACTTAATATTTTAAACTTTTATATGATGAATGCATTGGATTTAGAGCAAAATACCTCATTAAAGAGTCCAACTTTCCAGTATTCATCAGGTAGGCTTAAAGAAAAAAAGTGTCTTGATTAAGTGAATTACAGTTATTAAGTTAATTACTAAATAATAACCCCAAATTTGGCATTTTGATCTTGCTTTCCCCTGAATTAGCATATTCTTGATTATATGTGTTACACTTCAAGGGATGGTTATAACTATTTTGAAGCCTACCATTACTTAAAATATAAAATAATAGACGTAACAACTAGAGGTAAGCATTTTTATTGCTATATTTGGTGGGTTTGTATTTGTATAATATAAATATAAACATTTATATTACAGATCTGACCAAAACCCATCGTCTGGTACTGTTAGACATAAATTCATTTAATGAAACTATTATCGATATTGATGTTATAGGGAGAGGATTCGGAGAGTCAGAAGAAATATCTCAAGGCAGGTTAATGGTAATGGTCAAGATCTAGAAAGAGGAGCAACACAGATGAGTTTGCATTAAAGAATGAGAACAGCTGTTCCAGGGGAGAAAGAAATCCCTTGGAAATCTGTTATAACCTGTCAAAGGCCTGAATCAGTAAAACTTTGGTAAAGGGAGCGGAGGGATAAGGGGTAACAGGGCACCGCCAGTCAGGTTGCAGATGAAGAGCTGGTGCTGACAAAGACTTTGGGGTGCAGGGTGGGCTTGCGGTTCCTGCCTCAGGTTTGGAGGAGGCGTCAGGAATTCTGAAGTCAGCAGCTGGTTGCACAGGCCTTGCAAGGTCAGGCCAATGACAAGTCACAGCCAGAGCAGTTTTGGATACTCAACTAGAAATGGTCAAAGAGGATTTAAATGTGGAAAGCACAGACCGTAAGGTCAGACAAAGCCAGGTCTGGATCCCAGATCTGCCACTTAACAGATGTGGACTTGGGACGTACGTTTAAATATCTCTGAGCCTCAGTTTTCTCTTTTGTAAATGGGACTAATAATACCTATGTGTTATGAATGTTACGAGGATTATAGAATTTATTATATATAAAACCACTTCACATGTGGCATTACAATTAATCGATAATAAAGTGATCGGCCATTATTAATGATTGGCCAAAGGAAAAAATACTGAGCTAATAGTTACATAGAAAGTTTACAAGCTAGAAAGTACTAGAATGATGATTTTGTCAAAGTCAACCGAAAATAAAAAGAGATATAATCAAAGTAATGAGATCTGGCTTTGACAAAGAATGTCAAATTCTTAAGAGAATTTTAAGAGTTAGGATCATTGGTACACATGAGAATGACACTATGTCAATATTTTTCTACAGCTATATTTGGCTTTCTTGAGACATTCAGCCTATAGTTCTTGGTATACCTTCAACCAGGATTAAGTATCTATTTTAACAAGATTTTTATAGTTGGACTTTAAAAAAATGAAGAATGACTTGCACAACCGATCATTGTTACAAATGTAAGCACTCTTCGGTCTTTAGAAAAAATATATGCGCACAATTTTGTGGGGTATAAATAAGATAGTGGAGCAAAAGTTGAGGCCCCACGAGCATTTCTGGCTACGGTGCAGCTGCTCTAAGTGCTATTCTATCCTAAGCAGCGGTAGCAGCAATAAACTCACATTAGTAAAAATAAACTAATGAGACAATTATTCTGAAACATCACGTGTCTTCCGCCATTTCATATTCTGAAGGATTAAGTGGCACGGAAATAAATTGTCAAAATGATATTGCATTTACAAGACACATCTGAAAAATTACTAGGGGTTCGTAAATAAAACTTTCCCTTTACAGATATTTTGATATGCAGCAAAATAGCTGTTCCTATTCTACTTTTGATAATTATCAGCTGGCCAGATTACTACCCTCTTCCTCAGAAGGAGTCCTGGTGCTGCAAAGAAGAAGGTAGGTAAAAGCAATGATAACACAAATTTGTTCATCTGTATGCAGGAAAGAACAAACTGAAGTTCATAGAAAAGGTGGAAATACAGCCTCAAAAACCTTTAGCTTTTTAAAGTTTTAACTTCCCTCAAAGTAGAAATATATGCAATCAGTTTTAATAAAAAAAAACAAAAACAAAACTCATAAAGCTGCTCTTTTGTACTATGGATCAAATTTTATTAAGACTATAATTTTAGGCATGAAAGTATTTCTTGGACATGATTTTGTTCAAATTTTCTGTTAATCTGACAGGCATAGTTTGTGATGGTATAAAGAATAAACATCTTGTGAATATAACATGCCCGAACTCAGAAGATATAAACAAAATAAATTAGGTTTCAGGCCTTTATTCAGTTGAGGTTTTGGCAAGATTGGCAGGCGCCATCCAGGATAAAATCTTGTCATTTCAGGCAAAAGGAAGGAAAATTGCCTGATATACATCGTTCAGGAGCATGTGAATTATGCAGGTAGTTGCTATAAGCTGTCAAATCGCACATTGAAATGATCAGTGACATAGCTGGGAGAGGCACTGACGGTTATTTGTCTGTGACCTTTGCCATTCAAAATCATCCCTGAGCGAGGATTTAAGTATCAATCTTCCTTTTCACGCCTCTAGCAAAGTTCTGGCAGCGTGACCAAGCCTCATCGTGGTCCATTAACGTGGGGCTAGAATGAGAGCCACCGGGATATGATAGTCAGAGTCCACTTCACATCCCAAGCACGGCTAGGTGTGGATTAGAATTCCTTGTCCTGGGTTGAAGGTAAGAGAGGATCATTCAAAAGAGGAGGCTACATAATGCAAAAGTCAGCAGCAACCAAAGACTTGGATTTTTGAGACTGTATTCTTACATGATATTTGATGGCCAGATAAGGAGACATGCAAAGGAAGGTACCTGTACACCAAACTTATGGCCGTGTAAAAAACAGCAAAGACAATAAATTCCCTGTACAGTAGTTTGTAGATGCTCCCTCTCCACTTGAGGAGTAACCTATGAAATCCAAAAAAAGTCGCATTTGCTACTTTACTGGAGTACGTGACAGTCATCTTGGGGAACTTTTTTTTCTAGAAGAGCAAGAAGACAAAACACAAGTAAAAAGCCATGTGTAAGACTGAGCGTAAGTCTATGTGTCAAAGAAACCCAAGCCGCTAACCAGTTAGCCACCTCCTCATTCTGCCTTTCTCTGTTTAAACAGTTTGGGATTTGAAGATAAGCACCATCTCCACACGAAATCTTTTAGTAGAAAAGGGGACGAAAGTAGCCTCTGGGAAGAGTGATATTAGAACTTGCCTCAATGTCTACATATTATTTTCAGGTTTTGTAGTCATCACACGGTAACATTTGAATGGACAAGTATGATACAGGAACTGTATCACCTGTGTGGCATCACCTGTCATGTATTTTCTTAACGCGTGGGAAGATTGAGGGTATGGATATGCTTTATTAGTGGACATTTTCCAAACACTAACCAAACTTAACTGTTTGGGTCTTTATTTGCTCAAGTATGTAAAGAAGTATTTGTTTCACCCTTAAATTTCCTAAGGGGGAACTTAATGGCTCTCTTATTAGAAATCAGGAGATATTGTTGGAAAGAATCAAGCCTCTTGTGAGAATTTAATTCCTGGGTCCCCTGGCGGCTTTAGTTGGATGTAGGTATCTCTGTGGTGGAGCTTCACCTGCCCAGTTAGCACTTTGTGCACTTTTTGAAAAGTAGGGCCACAGTGGTGCACTTGCCCCCTGAACAGTCGTGTACAAAATACTTAGGGGAGGGAGGGGGTTCACTTTCTGTTTGGAGCTGACCAAAATGTGGCCATTATTTAGGGCTCTTTCTACTTGGGTTTGGTCCCTAGATGTGAGTCGGATGAGAACTGGACCCCAATGCCTCGCTCCAGGGAGTTCCCTGCAATTCCATTGCTTTTCAACAAGACAGCAAACATTCAGGTTCTGAGATGGCCCTGAACTAACCTTCGCTTGAAAGTCCTGCACCGCTGCTCTCTAACGTGGAGCATGGACAGACAATGAAAGTTCTTTGCAATCTTTTTTGTTTCCAAAGGATCTATAAGGAGTCTTACTGAGCTGCTTAGATGGAAATTATGGAGGTTTTCGGTGGAATTGGGCTAGACAGAGGAACCAGCACGTTTACATGGAGTAGCCTGCCACGCACATTTTATCTAAACAAGAAAATTTCCTGTCTTTATTCAGAGGTGGGAAAACAATCCAATTCTAATTCGCCTAGTTTCCCTAGAGAAATAAGACGCTGGCACCATATACTCACAAACTTAAGACTTCAACGTCACGGATTTTAGTAAAGAAGCCGGGGCCTGTTGGCATGAGTAAGTGGGATTACGAGAGGACGGGAAACCAGTTTCATTTTTCCATCTTTACCTTGTCTGTCTGTCTAATGTGAGTGCAGCCAGATTTGGGGAAGAGGGACATTAGAAATGAAGCCCACTTCATAACTTGCTCTCCTGGGCAGCACCGTTTTAGGTAACAGTCCTCAACTCTCTGCAACGGGTCGCCCCGCTATTCAGCCTTCAGAAAAGTTAAGGTCACATAGAGCAGAGGTCAGAGTGAGAATGCATAGGGTACACTCCTTGTGCACTAACCTATTTCTTGGGTTGGGAGGCTCCGGCAGGAAAGAAAATCTTCACATTTCAGGCTCCCCCTGAAGAGGTGCCTTCTGCTCGGGGTTGCGCTCGGCTTCACGCTTGGCTCACGCACGGTCAGATTTGCTTTCCTTCCCTGGCCCCCGAGAAGGCCCAGAGCGTGACAAGCACAGGAGTTCAACGTCTTTCCGCTTGTGGAGGCCTGTTTATGCCAGTTTGCCCACTGATGACAGTTATAGCCGGGAACAAACAGAAGCAACAGCTGCTGATGTAGCTTTTCTCTACTCTATAATTATAACTCCACCTGCCGCCCCAAGTACCCCTTTGAATGAGAAGTCGGAGGTGACGTGAAGGAGGTTGGGCCCTTGAAGTCTGTTATTTTCATTTTGATTTGACCCTGGGATCCAGGGACAAGGATCCATTTTTCCCCCAAAGTGTTCCTTCTGAAGAGGCTTCACTGGCCAAAAAGGGGCATCAGGACAGTCTGTGTGTGCTCACGATGAAGAGTGAGTTGTTGTGAGGCCATAAACTGGGGCAGAGGAGAATATAAACGAGATTGTCACTTGTTTGAAAGGGAATTGAGAATGTGACCAGCATGCTGTGTGTGTGTGCATGTGCATGTGCGTGCGTGCGTGCGTGTGCATATTTTAGAAGAGCATAGAAAATAATTTTGTGTGACGGCTTAGCCAGTGGAAAATAACACACGGATTCATTACATTTGTTATCCTTCCATGGTGAGCTCAGAAATTTTTTTAATAATTCAAAACGACTTCCACAATTTCCGTCTTCAAAGAGAGAGTTCATTGGCATTCGTTAAGTAATGAAGTAAATCACTTCAGGGCCAATTTAGGGCCTTTGCAACCCTCTCAAGTAGTGTGTGCACCAAGCATTGCAATTGCAGCTTACCTGAAATGACTACAAAAAACATATTTTTGTGAGAAAAGAATAAAAAAAAATGCTTATTCTAAAATTGAGAAATATACATTCAAAAGGGTTTTGTGGTTGTTGTTGCTGTTTTTTACAGCATTTTAGGCTTTCTATGCATTTGCCTGGTTTCTTTATCAAACTGTAAGTACCCCAGAGCAAAGACAGAGGGTGGGTGTCTGATTTCGTGCCCCCATTCCTGTTCATAGTTCCAGAATGAAGCCCTGTGTATAATGGATATTCAATATGCATCTGTTGCTTGGTTATCATCTTACCCGTCACTGTGATGCTTCCGTCAGTACATTTGGGGGGAATTTGTGAACATTTTAAAAGCACATATGTAATGCTGCCCCTTTTACATTTGGTTGCCATGACGAGTGGTTGGAGAGACCCGATGTTGCATTTATAAGGGTTTGCAAGACTGACCAATGTTATAGAGTTTGAGCAAAACTAAATTCAAGTGCTTGTGAGACAGAGACATGGGAGGTGTTTTGGAAAATTCTTTCTTTTGTGTCTCCTACTGGATGCGTGGAGGCCTGATTCCCAGCAGCATGACTGTGTGGCCAGCTCGGTGGGACCCCGTTGGCTGGTCTCACTTTTAAGCACACTTGATGATGTTCATGGTTCCCATCAGGCTGTTTTGAGGAATGACTAATTCATGGTCAAGATCGCATTCTAAATGCAAGTTAGTCACTAATGATTGGACTCAATGAAAAAACTCTCCTTATTGAGCTCTGAGTGTGGTGCTATTTTTAATATGTCCCAAAGATGCCTTTAAGAAATCAACTCATTAGAGGGGACAAGTCACTGTAGCTTATTTCAAAACATCCAACAAACACCAAATTGCGCAGTTAACTGTTCACATGACTTTTTGAAAAAAGCTTTAAAGTTTCTTGTTTATAATGGATATTTTTCCAGATTCTGAAAGTAACATATGTTTATTAAAAGAACAAAGAAGAAAAAGCAAAACAGCATATGAAGAACAGAGTCCTACTGTATCGTGCCACCCTAGAGGAATGATAATCATTTGGCATAAAGTTCATCTTTCTAGACTTTTGTAGAAAATATTTTAATTCCTATAATTAGTAGCAAACAATATGACAGACATCTGGTGTGTGTATATATATATATGAACAAGATATATATATATATACACTACTCCAGACATATTTTCTTTTTTTTCCCAAGATTTTATTTATTTATGAGAGACACACAGAGAGAGGCAGAGACACAGGCAGAGGGAGAAGCAGGCTCCATGCAGTGAGTATGATGCAGGACTCGATCCCAGAACCCCGGGGATCAAGACCTGAGCCGAAGGCAGATGCTCAACCACTCAGCCACCCCAGGTGCCTCCAGACATATTTTCTTTTCACAGCAAACATCAGGTTATGTGATCTTGACCACTCTGACTTCCAATGACCCTGATAAACACACTTGTCTTTGACTCCAGTAAAGATCCAGTGATGGGAAAATTCATCAAAAAGAACAACTGGTCATTTCAAAGTGATAAGAATACGAATATTTATCCATAGGTATCAGGATAAATCACCCATTGTTCCTCAAGAGCAAACAAGAACAAATTGAGGTAGCCACTGCCCCTTCCTTGAGAAGAACCAGCTATTTAAAAAGTCCCACATTCATTTTATTTTTTTTATTTTTTAAAGATTTTATTTATTTATTCATAGAGACACAGAGAGAGAGAGAGGCAGAGACACAGGCGGAGGGAGAAGCAGGACTCCACCCTGGATATCCAGGATCACACCCTGGGCTGCAGGCGGCGCTAAACCACTGAGCCACCAGGGTTCATTTTATACTTATTTCACTGATGGGAGAAATCTTTGCCAAATTTCTTTTGAGTGCTTGTTTGAACATGGTCACGTGCACGCGCAACTTTGCATTCAAATATTCAAACACCAGAAGTTGTGTTTTGGAGAATTGGATTCTGACTCTAAGACTTTTGGATGTTATTTTTAAATTTATTCTTGATTTTTTAAAAAGCCTTTATTCACTTGAGAGAGAGAGAGAGCAGAGGGGAGGGGCAGAGGGAGAGGGAAAGGCAGGCTCCCAGCTGAGCAGGGAGCCCAACCTCAGGCTCTGATCCTGGGACCCTGGAATCATGACCCAAGCCCAAGGCAGACACTTAACCAACTAGGCCACCCAGATGCCCCATGTTTAGACATTCTTAAATGAGGAATAAGAGATCAGTAACGTTTTTGAACATAGAAAAAAACTCTATGGTGCAGAAAGGTGAGTCTGTGAGCTGAGTGCAAGGGATTTGAGCAGGCAAGGACTGTAGGAGGGGAACCAGGCTGGAGTTCTTAGGGCTGTTCTGGTATGAACTGGGGTGGTGGGGGAGTGCAATGCAGAGGAAGAATGGTGAGAGAAAGCCAAGAGGAAAACTGCCACCTGGAGGGAGAAAAGGGAGAAGAGGCTGTGGGGAGTGCGAGGAGGGGGGAAGAGAAGTCTGATAGGACGCAGGCTTCTACCTTTGGGCCCATTTGCTTATGAAGAACTAC